TAAGTTTTTTAGGAAAAAGTAACTACATGCATTTTAGCGACATAAGGTTTAAAGGGCCTGCCAGGACAGGGGTGGGATTTAAATACCCTTCGCGCCAGTCAAAAAGTTAATTTCTTCATGGGTACAATTTTGATTTTTTATTGTCATTCCAAAATATTTTAACTTTGTCACATTTTCAGAGAACCTATCCATATGTTCATTTTATGGTTTTGCTCTCTGTTCTGGTTATGTGACATGAACATGTACAGTTGCTGCCACCAGTCTGCAAGCTTGGCCTACACTGCATGTTTATATGAACAAATATAATCGTTGAACACGTCATATTTCTAAGAGCAAGCCTGTATAATGACAAGGCGCTCCTTCACTCTCTTCTTCTATGGGAATCATGCAACTCAGTAATACAGAAATATATTGCACCATGTTGCCTGCTGACAGAGGAAGATAATAGTATCATAGCCAAGTATAACCACTTATCACNACACTACTGATTTCACTTGTATACTTGCCCTTCCCCCCTTCCCTCTCTGCTCTCACATAGCTGTGTATATTTCCAACACCAGTCTGCTTTTACCGGTTCTCACGGTCTCTTCGCTTGCGGATTTCTTATATTTTTCCTTCTACCCTGAAGATAGAGGTGATACGTTCCTCCGAAACGTCGGTTAACACCACATATACATGGTGCCAAATCCCAGAAGACTGCTTTCTTCATAGTCACCGCCGTGAAAACCTCAAATCTTACATATGTTAAAATAAGTTCCGACAGGAATGGCTACTAAACGTTGGGTGTGTTCTAATTGACAGATTCCTAGATGCATAAAGAAACTTTGCTACAGTTGATTATATTCCTTCATAACACATTAGTCAGTGCTCATTCCTCTCTCGGTTTTAATATGCGAAGTCTCTTGAGCTATTATTTGTGAAGTATTTAACATGCTTGAGATTTTGAAGTAAGAGACAGGCAGTGATCTGTAAGAAGACTATAGTATTTGAGCTAGATAGACCAAGAAGAAGTGCTTACAGTTCCTGCACCCTTGAGTTCGTATCTTGTTGCGAATCTGTTGCTGATTCAGCTGCCAGCTCTGGCTTGTTTGTCTTGCTGTAAAAATTACAAATTGTGACAGGAAGTTACATGTTTGAACAATAATGAACAGCGAGAAGTAAGTGCAAGCAAGATTATAGGAAGTCTGGTGTCATGTGGACAGTATAAGCTAGGTTCTTCTAGAGGACATCAATTGTAATCTGCTTTTTAGTGTGAAAATTGTTTCAAATAAATTCTACTTCATGTTTAAGTCAATGCAAACATGAAGGACTGGATTAAATAGCTATATTTCATGCTTGAGGGAGTAGCACCCTCATATATCATGTGCGTGGTCATTACTTAACAGCACACAATGTTTTACACCCATTTTTTGACATAAAAAAATTATCTTATGTATTATTTCTGTGTATTTTACTAAATTGACACTGAAAATCAAAATTAAAACTGGGTATACTGTCCATTCATAGAATCATTATTATTTATATAAAGTTCATTGCATTACGTTATATAATTCTGCCAGTTTTGTAATTCTTAAAATATCTGTTTGGCCTGTTATGTTTTCATAAAGTTTGATGCAAACACAATGAAGAAAGCTGATTAAAACATAAATGATAAGAATGTGGAAAAATGAGCCTTAAAAGGCATTAGGGAAGCATTACAATGCTTTCTGATATCAGCAGTTAGGAAGGCAATAATAATATACTCGTATAGTTACCTGTCATTAGTGCGCATTGTGGTGAAGTGAGAGCCACTGCTTGCAAGAGTGTTGTGGTTGTTATCTCCACTGTTACCACCATTACCATGTGCAGTCACTGCAGTTACATCAGGATCTGAGTCTGGTTCCTTATGGCCCACAGTGGCAGATACCTCAAATCCAGCTGATACAAGAGCACCTACCCAGCACAAGCAACATGATTAATAGCCTTATATGTTACTATTTATGTTCATAACATGAAAATGTCTGCTACATCTCCATAAGTTTGTAGGACTAATCTGGAAATTTGCAATTTTGGTTAGGGGTACATATACTTCATTTCGGTGTCCTACTACTTTTATCAATCTTTTAGCAATATGGAATTCCCACATACAATTAATTAGAAAGTAAGATAAAATTTATATCTCCTGATGTACGAGGCATGTTCACATGCAGTGAACTAGCCATTCAGATAGGTATGGTATTGCCTAGTTACATAAATGACCTATAATCTAAATGTGACTGTCATGTCTGCTCAGACTAGTTGTCTGTATGTTTGGCAAGCAGACTGAATTCTTGAATGTGCAGTATATAGATATTTAGGTATTTTTGAGATTATAACCACTAACGATTATTAATTGTCATACCTGTATTGTATTGTTTCTGTATGTGTGAGTGGGGTTGTGGTGTTGTGTAGGATGTGTCATTGATTTATGAATGTTTGTATGAGCATGCGCATGTGGTTCTATGGAGGTGTGTCTGTGTATATTACGGCTGTGTCAAATAAAATATTGCTATGATTGTTTTAGTCAGTTTTCTTTTCATCTATTAGTGTATTATTGTGTTTGTAGAGATAATGTAGAAATTCTCTTTTATACATTTCCCCTAGAAATTCTCTTTTATACATTTCCCCAAGTGCCAAAACCTAACAACTAAAGCATGTGTGCGATGAAAGGAAACACAAAACCAAGAGTGCCAACAAAACTAAATATTCACAATGGAAGAAGTGGTGGTACTGATGAATCTGTGACCAATAGGATGGTGCAAAATATCTGCGAGTGCTGCATAAAGTATGTAGGATATTTGCAAGGGAGAATAATACAAAGGAAATCACATGCAAAAAAAATATTAAAGTGAATTATTATCAATTTGCAGTATAGTAATAAGAACACAAGAAAAACAGTGATGATTATGAACCGCTGGCCTTTCCTATGGATTAAAAGTGAACCAGTATCATTGAATGTTTGATTAATAAGTTTTAAATATATTTATTAAGTTGTCTGTTAGGATATAGTCAATGTCTCTCTCCCAAATGAAGTTACAGTGCAGCTTCAACTATACAAATGGTGGCAATACTACAGTAGCTTACCATTGACTCTTGTTATCGGTCAGGTATAGCTCATTACTATTAATTGTAGTCAAAATCTATGCCACTTGGTTTTCTAAGCCCAGACTGCAGCCAAGAGGTATCAAAAATACATTTTTGAAAAATTCTATATTAAAATTCTTCACCCTTTCTCTACTGAGTATAGTTTCTTTCAGCCAGATATTACAAGTACTGTATAAGATATTTTACCTTCTTTGCACAATGTGAATAAAATCTTGCATGTAGTGGATATCAAGTATAACTGTCCTTCCATCAGCATATTTTGATCTCATGAATTTCTGGACATATTTTGATGAAATTTGATACAAACCTTGTGCCACTGCAGCTCAGTAAGAAACCAGCATGAATCAGAGCCTGCTCTGCTTGCTGCCAGCTTCATGCAGGTTTCTTGCTTAGCCCACTCTTCAACCTTGAAGATGGAGGCGTTGTGTTCCTCAGAAGCATCAGCTGACTTTCACTAGACTAAAAGGTTCTAGGTCCATGAAGCCAGAACTCTTGCTACTTAATATTGTCAACGTTTCTATAAAAACTCTTCAGTACTATGAGCATTCAGGATGCTGTGTTGTAAAGGAATGCATGTGGAAAATTTGTGTGCTTCTGCATGGATTGCACCTTTCCAGTCCCTTCCCGAGTTGTTTAATATGAATTTGAATTTATTTTCTGTTGTTGGCCGTCCACCATGCAACAATATAAAGATTTAAAATTAAATCCTTTTAACATTTTTCACTGCACTACATGTTTTGGCCTGCTTGGCCATCATCAGTGGCGTTGAAGTTCTGTGGTACTACTGTGCCTTCCGCTCTGCTGCGAATTTTAAAACAATTTTAATTTTAAATCATTATACTATAACATGGTGGACAGTAAACAACTGAAAATAAATTCCAATACCAACTACAACAGGACGCTAAGATACAGCATTAACATGCGTTCATATGACGCATTTTAGGCGATAAACCCATATACATGCATTGAAATTAAAAATTCCTGTAAATTCTGTCTTAAAGTGGGCTATGTGAGATTTTTTTCTTACTTCGTAGGGATTTTTTTATACGTATTTTGGTAAGATTTGTGTCAGTGTTGCTAAATTCAGAACTGTTTTCAAAGTATTTATATGGTCATATTCTGTTAAAATATAATGAGTAAGCTTACTAGCAGATTTAGATTCAGAGCGAATACGTATTTGATAAAGAAGTACTATGACTTTAAAGAAAGTGAAGCATCATGAGAACTATGTACGTGAATTATTTGGTGTACATAAACTAATTGCTTTTTCAAGAGCAGCGTGTAGTGTGTATATAGAGGAATACTGTAAAAATAATTTCTGATACAAGGAATTGAATGTTAGTGATGGAATGAGTGAAAATACTACAGTGTAAATGATGTAAGTTAGGCGTTATTATTAGCGAGGACTACTGAATTTTTGGACTTTGTCCATTGTCAGGTATTCCAAACAACACGACGTTTCGAGAACTATCTGTTTCCATCTTCAGCGGAAAGGGTTGGAGGCATTTACTCTGTTGGGTGCATTAGAAAGAGCTAACCTCAATCACAGATCCAGTGAAAAAGATAACCTCTTTCCAATGGACCAAACAAAGAGATGCGTCCCACCCTTTCATCAAAAGACCAGACCACATCCAGTTTCTAAAACACTGTGTCCTTTATAATACCAAGGAATGGGCAAAGTTAAAAACTCAATAATCGTGGGTGTTACCATCTTCAGAATCTTTTGGAATTAAATTATTATTAGTGTGTACCATTTGTGTACTTACTTACTTACTCATGGAGCTGAGCCATTCTTGAGGAGCCCCCATTTCTGCAGCTACTCAAGAATTTCCCAGCATTATATGGAACCAAAAGTTTCATTACTGTGTTAACAAGAGCCCTCCACTGGTCCCTATTCTTAGCCAGATCAATCCAATCCATACTAACCCATCCTATCTTTCTAAGATCCATTTTAATGTTGTCCACCCATCTACACCTTGGTCTTCACAGTGGTCTCTCACCTTCTGGCTTTCCCACCAATATCCTATATACATTCCTCACAAGGAAAATACCATGTAGTTTTCATAGATTATAGCAAGGCATTCGACCTACTCAACAGGAGTATAATCACAACAAAACTGAGGGAAATAGTAGGAGAAGAGAACACAACAACAAGACTAATAGGAGACATCCTCAAAAACAATAAAATCATAATAAAAGACGGTGTCAGAATCCGAAGAAATAACCCAAACAAATGGTGTACTGCAAGGGGACCCCCTCAGCCCATTACTATTCAATATTACAACAGCAGACTTGGCCAAAACAATGGAAAAACACACAGGGGTACAATTAATTATGTACGCAGACGATATGACAATTGGAGGAAAAAATATTGAGGAGCTACAGGAAGCCTCCACTACACTGGAGAGCTGGGCAAGACAACACAAACTTCAAATAAATAAAAACAAAACCCAACTAATGACTTTCAGAAAAGGAGGAAAAAAAGGAAAAAATGATGAAATAAAATTTAATGGAGAACACATAAAATCAGTAAAACAATATAAATACCTCGGCTTAACACTGCAGTCTACATCTACAACATTCACGGCACACATAACAGAAAAATGCACAGCAGCCATCAAAGCTATATACACCATCCGAAACCTGCAACTATTATCGCTAGAAACAGCAATGAAAATATTCCATGCAAAAATTTGTTCCATACTACTATATGGCATAGAGATAACCTGGGAAAAACTATCCAAACAAAACCTGCGGAAAATAGAACAAGTGAAGGCAAGATACCTTAAACTAGCGCTAGGGCTTCCTAAGAACACACAATCCAGACTAACATACGAACTCTGCAAGGAAAATTTCCTAATAGAAGAACTCAGATATCAACTGCCAAGCACAAAAAACTCAGAGGAAGTTATCAAAGAAAGAAAACAAAAAAGAGAGGAAATATGGGAAGAGTTCTACAGCACTGATGCAATGACTGACAGAACCTGGACAGGACCCAACAGAAAATTACGACACACAATTACTAGGTTGGCAACACACGGATTCCACCACAAGATATGCAAGAACGAACGTTTCCACGACGCAAATGACGCGTGTGTGTGTGTAAACACTGTGATAAAAAGTGCAGTAGACACCACATTACCATATGCAAAAACCTAACCACATCGATAACCAAATACAGTCGCGAATAAAAAAAAAACAATTACTCTATGCACATTGTGCGCATTCCCTTATTATATATAAACATTCCTCATCTCCCCTATTTGTGCTATACCTTTTGTGTGCATTTATAAACACATATAAAAGGCGATGCAGTGTGGATGAATACAGATGGTATAAGTGTACGTGCTGCTTAATATTGGATTGTTAGCGGTTGTCATCCAAGGTTGCTAGCTTCAGCGGGGCGGACGATGATTGTAAGATGATTGTATTGTTCTTAGTCTTGTGTATCATTTTGTACATTTTTAGGAGTTGTTGACTTGTAGTATTTTAGATGGTTTAAACTGGCTTGTCCAATTGTACTTGTGTAGCAGTTTATGGATGTAAATAAATTATGAATGGTCTGTGATAGAAATGTTGTGTCATAGGACATTCCTTCGAAGATAATAGGGAAATAGAGTATACATGGTGTAAGTTAATGTCCATATCATGACCACCAACAGGACAAGTAGTAACTGTATAGGAAGGTAAACAGATTTTGTAGACAGATAATGTGCTTTCCATGGATACTGGTTACATAGGATGTTTAACATGTCAAGTCACTGAATGAACATAAACACTGTGCTACTTTATTGAGTCTTAATCATTATTAAGGTAAAGTTCCTATGCTTACTTGATTAAGCACTGCTCCACGAAGATGTATAAGGGAGTGGAGGTATAGTGCTACCATTCTTGACCTTGGCATTAGATGGAGGTGAGTTTACAGCTTCACGCACTGGCTGCTTTATCCCCAGGGACAGAGTCCCTGGTACCAACCGAGTGGGTGCCAGAGCCATTCTGGATGCTATGGATGCTATGGTGAAGAGAAAAATGTATTTTCCATGCTGGGAATTGAACCCCCACCAAGCCCATAGTCTGTCACTCTATTGATTGAGCTATCCTGGCTCATTTTTTAGTCATTATTGTAAGTAACATCACTTGTACTTAGCCCTCTTGGTCATTATTGTGAGTATTAAATACATATAATAATGTCCAACATACTAGTATATACATTTAATTTGCTTGAGCATCAGTATTGTATCCCACCTGAAGATTATTTAGTAAGAACCAAACCATGTAGTGTTTGTAACCAGTTCTGACAAAGAGCACTGTGCTTGTTTGGTGGTGGAATATTATGCAACAGACTGTTGATGTTATGTCTCCATTCTATATATAGTATCTCCCAGACATGCAAGTTTTTCAAATCAGCTCTTATATCAGGCATGTTTCATATAATCACTGAGAATGTTCACATTCCCTCTACCAGAGAAAATAATCTTCTCAATATGAGATGAGGTTCTTAGAGCACTGAGTGTTAAAATTCATCTCCTGGGATGTTGGTCATGTAGTGTGGTAGAGCTGAGAGCTATGCTGGAGGTAGTGTAGCTACTGGTAGGGTCACCCATACCAGACAGGTCAAGGGGTAGCAGCCAGATGAAGAAGGATACCCTGGTTCTCCAGGTTGGGGGTTGGGTGTGAGGCTAACAACCTCACACCATAAAAACTAAATTTTTCAGAAACCAGAGAGTCAGCCTTGGATGGATGGCTGGATTGAATGGAAATTTACATCAGCAAAGGAGCTGAGTTAGTTGGAGGATGTACATGATGATCTCCATAAAATGAAAGTGAAAGGATGGGTAGGATAGATGAAGAATAGAGAACAGGAGGACAAAGCTCTCCCTGAGCTGTAGCACTGAGGGGAAGAAAGGAAGTGTGGTAGATAGGTTCTGGTGTTATGATTCTAAAGATGGAGGCAGCACATTCTGCTGAAATACTGATATCTATTAGCCAAACTACATCAAATTGCATGCCAGATTACCATCACCTTAATTCTGATTTATTATTATATCATTAATTGCTAAAATATACATATCTTATGCATTAGTGAGTGTATTAATTTAGTCGTTATCAAGTCCACTGGTGTATTTAAATGTAGTTGACTTCAGTACTTACATTACTAGCCTCTGTCCAGAGATCTTTGAAAGTTGCTATAAACCTACAAACCATACACTACTGGTTACCTGTGGAAGGTTTCCGAGGAGCTGATGATTTCCTGGAAGATGGGGGAGCTGGTTCATTTGTTTGATTTGTGGAGTTACTTTGTTTCTTTCTTATGTTGGCAGCATTTCGGTTTTCCTGTGTATGGAAAATAAATGATGTCTGAAGGTCTCCGGTATTTGCTGTTCATCTCCTCCTTCCTCAGTATAGTAAGGGGGCAGTGATAATGATAAAATTTGCATCTGACAGGCCTACACAAATCTATAAATTTAGGGAAGTGTAATAATGTGAAGAAAAGTGAGGAAGGAAGGAGGTAGATATGATAATAGGACAGGCAAATAAAAGGGATGGGAAGGAAGGAAATAAAAATGTGAAGTGGGGAAAGGAAGGAAGTTACAGCAGTTTTCCCATCATCTTTGATGGGTTGTGTGCTGGTAGTAATATAATTCAGAAGAAAATTCAAAGAAGCATCATGAACGATTTAGGCCTCCTGGCATCCAGAATTTGTGCATTCTAGTCATCTGACTTTTGGTTTACATCCAGTTAGGGATGAAAGTAGACGAGAATGTGTACTACAAATGTAACAATACGTGAAGCAAGAGTTGCTGATTATGCAATTTTTTATCTGGAATAGATACAATTTTTGACCATGAGTTCTCGATTTTGGCATTGAGAAACATATCTTAGAGACTGGTTTTAAATCATCTACTTAATGCAGACTTCATGCTGTGTCAGTCTTCACATTCTTTTAGTGATCGTGATGTAGGGTGCTGAAAGATTCTGCCTGTATACTAACACCATATTTACACCCATCAGTCAGTTCATCAGTTATGTATTAATATTTGTATTTCAGCAAAGAGCATGCAGTTTCGGCAAGCAATTTCCGTGACACACATAATTCATACACCCTAAATAAGAATATAATTGGATATTTTGTTACTCTAAAGAGATACCTAGCACTTCAGGCAGGGCTAATCATTTTTAGCCTACTTTCCTCATTAAAAAAATTAAAGCAGGGTTATGAGACCACCTTGTTGTCTGTGTATCCCCATCTATCAACCTTTGAATGCCTGAACCAGTCTTTATGAAACCTGGTATGTATATCATGGCACCTTAGCCCACCTCGACGGCATACTTTATAAATCCTTGACGTGTATTTTTGCTAACTGTCTTACAGTGCACACAATTTCACCTTTCTCTTCACTTTTACACTACATGTTTCGGCACTAATGTGCCATCTTCAGGTGTGTCTCTATCCACGTCAAACTACTGCCCTGCATGCCATCACTTCTCCATCATAAAATGACTAAAATGTGTATTTGTCATGTATAACAAATTCTAAATACCAAAACATTTAAATTCGTCATCCATACGTCGTATCTCAAATACGCGAGATACGACGTATGGGTGACGAATCCTGAAATGTTTTAGTATTTAGAATGTGTTGTTATACATGACGAATACACATTATAGTCATTTTGTGATGGAGACATTATGGCATGCAGTGCAGTAGTTTGACATGGATAGAGACACACCTGAAGATGGCACATTAGTGCCGAAACATGTAGTGTAAAAGTGAAGAGAAAGGTGAAATTGTGTGCGCTGTAAGACGGTTAGCAAAAATACATATCATGGACATGAATCAATGTGACAGGACTCTAAAATATAACATTTATAAATCCTTCCAATCAGTCTGTCTGTCTGTATTCCCCCCAATGTTGCTAGGCAGCAGCTGGGTGAACACACTCCTGTGGCAACACATACATGCAACAGTAGAAGAATTGTTGAGTGCATAGTTTTCTGTGCAGCCCATGTCATGTCGAATGAAATTGGGCAATTAGTTCTTCCCAGAACTTGTTAAATTTAATATTTGTTAGTATGTGAACTGAATGATCTGTGCATCATGATAAGTGAATTTGAAACAAAAATGTAAATTTTGCAAAATTTCAAGAAAAAGAAATTCTGCCAGTTCCAGAAATATAATAAAACATGTATGTCAGTGTAAAACAAATACCATTCAGCAGTTCTTACTTGCTTATTCCCTGTCTCCAAGTAGCTCAGAAGCTTCTGTTGCTCCTTAGCAATTGCTCGTTTTTGTTCAGCACCAAATGTGGACATGGCAAGTAATGGTGATGTTGGTGGTATTGGCCTGTATTTTGCTCGAGGGATCATTACTGTCAATGAGCGATCCCGCTGGTCTGAATATGCCATTCCCTCATCTGACATTTCAACAGCACCAGATGTCTTTCTGTTTCCAGCATGAACTAAAGCTGACTTCATTTGTGACCCATATGTGCTAGCAGGCTGTAATATCACAATTTGGGCTATACTACACTATATTAATATAATTTACTGTATTATACTCTACTGTATGAGTATCAGTAACATCATTATGGTTATACCCTATACTATACTGTATAGTCTCCGAATGTGTGCAATATTGTTACATTTTTCTTTGATTATGGAAATATTGTCTGTGGAGCAGGCATATTTGTGTAGATGCATTACATTATGATTACAGTGTAATTCTGAATGGAAAATTTGTATGTGGAATCACTGAAACTGTTAATGTAGTCCTTACATACTGTGGTACTGTGTAACTCATACCACCAGAATGATAATGATGATGATAGTGGTGGCAGTGATTATGTAATGCTGAAGATGATGATTGAATACAGTTTATCTATCAAATTGATTTGCAGTGGCTTAAAACCCAGTTACAGGCAAACACTAAATGAAGAAGAAGAACAAAACATATGAAAACATAAATTGTACAAAACAAATATTATGAAGGTTACAAATATCACAAAAGCAATGTCTGGGTATATAAGTTAAGGCCTAAAGACTCTAGTCATTAAAATAATTAATAACACTAAATATTTTATAACTATTTTTTTTATTGCTAATGGGATGGGACTAAGTCCCTTGTACTGTGGCCATTTCTGGCCTATTGTACCAGCCCCAGATGATAGGTGAGGGTGATTGTGGAGCAATTTGTGGAATGAAGATAGGCAGGGGAAACCGAAGTACTCAGAGAAAACCTGCCCCAGCGCCACTTTGTCCACCACAAATCCCACTTGACCATACCTGGGATCGAACCCGGCCTGCCACGATGGGAAGCCAGCGATTTTATAACTAACTAAGGTACATAATCAATTCCATGGAGCAGAGTTCTAGGGAAGCTAGTAGTTCGTTAGCTGGTCAAGAAATTCCTTGCTTGTTATGAAATCTGAAGGATCCTTACTGTGCCAACAGGAACCATTTGAATGTATTCTGCATTCTCACAACCTGCTTCTTAAGATCTCCTTTAAAATTATATTCACATTTAAGCCAAAGTTCCCACATGATTATTTCCTTAAAATTTTCCATCAAAATAGCTTTCTTCATTTCTCATATCCCCATGCATGCTACATGCCTGACACATTTGATCCTTTTTGGTTTGTGAATGAAAATATCAGGAAGCAAAATACAGTCCTTGTTGAAATTAGTAAGGTTATGAGACATTTTCAACAGAAGCACTTCTAGTAAAGGAATGGACATTTTAGTGAAGATGTACATTGAGTATGAAGTAATTTCAGGCTTAATGTTGAAAGAATATACAGACTAATAGTATTCCAAATAGATTGGAAAATGAGAATACATGATTTGTTATCAAAGGATTAAAGGAAGCTGTTATTACACAGACTCTCTCAATGAAGAATTCTTCAATATCAGCTACTGATAAGTGAATACATAAAATATGTTGAATTTATAATCATTACTGTATTTCAGTAATTGTATAATATGAATGACATGTCCTATGTCAATGTAATTGATCTACAGGGCGAATAAAAAACAAACAAACAAAAGTTAAACCCACTGATATGTTGGGTTTTTGGACTTTATCCATCGTCCTGGTTTTTAAGATAACAAAATAAAAACACGACGTTTCGGAAACTGGATCTGTTTCCGTCCTCAGGTGAAGGAAAACACCTATTCAGTTGGGTCCGTTAGAAGGAGCTAGCCTCAAGTCCAATGATTGAGGCTAGCTCTTTCCAACGGACCCAACAGAATAGGTGTTTTCCTTCACCTGAGGACGGAAACAGATCCAGTTTCCGAAACGTCGTGTTTTTATTTTGTTATCTTAAAAACCAGGACGATGGATAAAGTCCAAAAACCCAACATATCAGTGTGTTATACACCATCGTCAGAATCCTATAGTAACTAAAAGTTAAACCATTCAGTCAGGTTTCAGTATCACATAAAATTCTTTGGTCTTGGCATGAACACTGGTGCCTATGGTATGCAGTCCCATGGAATTAATGATAAAAATAACCAAATGATCAAAAGAGCTGTTACTGTACTTGTTGTAACAATCAAAATCAGTAGCAGAACAGTTGCTCATTCAGTGATGCTGACTACTTTGAGCAAGGAATACTTACATCTTATTTCATATCTATGAATTTCATTGCTAAATAAATGCAGTAAAATATTTTATCCTCATAATTTGTCTTATAATATCTGGAACTGTCTTGTTATCTTTCATGTACCTGATGTGTAGGCGTGAGGTAGGACACAGGACCATGATCTGCAGCACTGCCTTCACTGCTAGAATCTTGGATCATGGCACGCTTGTCAAGTGTGTGTGTGGGACTACGATACCTTAAGAATCCTGTCCCTGTGCTGCAGGCATGCTGTGATGAGCGCTTAAGGCAGGTCAGCACCACACACACAATCAGCAAGCCAAGGAGTATTGCTCCAATTGTGACCAGCGCAATGAGCAGTACTGCAACAAATTGTAGTTTCATTCATGATAACGGTATTGAGATGCCAGTGTTAAATGACACGTGTAACATTGAATTATTCTAACTTACTATTACATTCAGATTCTACAAAAAAAAAATGTGATGTTAACTGATGTTTTCCTTTGTTTACCACCACGATACCACCCACTTTAAAGTTTATGAGCATATAGGTTGCATTGTGCCTTGCAAAAGCAGTATATACTATTCTGTAACCATAGGAAGAAAATTGGGGCGACGGAATGATTATATGAAATAGATAACAAATTTATGGGAGGATATTATTGAAGTAGGTTTTAAGAAACCTGGTTTTGATAGAAATATATGGTATCTTAAAATAAACCATTACAATTTCCTTCCTAAATTCATTATTATTTCTGAATGCTGTGCTGAAATTGGGTACGAGGACCAACCTGCATTTAAAATGTTGGATGTTTATTAGAACATTAACAGAACTACGGTTTAGCCCTCTTTAGTCATCTGGATGCCTGTTTGTTCTGAGTCCCTTCTAACAAATTCCAGGATAATATTATTTAAATATGTCACAGGGAGTTCCAATCATCCCTCTACAACTTCACCATTCCTGATCTTTTTAACATCTCATCTGATGTGTAATAGTGTTTCCAAACAACCCACTCATAAGTGTTTCATCTTACCTTTAAGATTTATGTGGCAGTTCTCCCCAGCATACCACTGGAAGCACTCACACATCAATTGGTCATCACCTCGTGAGTAACATGTCCCATGGTAATGGCATTTCTCACAACCAATCAGCTCAGCTATGTTAACAAATAGACCAGTACTTAGACACAGCTTGAGGAACACCTTAATGTCCATTTTATAGAAATATTATAGGATTAGCATGTGTGTATGTGTGTGTGTGTGTATTTGTGTCTGTCTTTCCACAAATTGCATTCCAATCAACCTGTCCGTTTTCATAAAACTTAGCAGCCACTCAGTGACTGTACTTTGAGTTCCTTTACACAGGAATACCAGCTTGATTAACTTTTGATTTTCAGTGTGAGTTTTGTTATGTAGAATATTTTAATTGCATAGTGTAAACTTTGTCACAGTCTGTTACTTTTGTTGGATCTGAGATTATGACAGTGGTGGCTGTGAATAGTTATGTGTTCTGGGTTGTAATGCCACATAGTCTGGTGAAAGTCAACCAGGGTTTCAAAGGAAAAAGCACATTCATCTTTAGGGTTATGCCAAGCAGGAAGCGAGCATGAAGCAGGCTGTTTTTTGCTTTGCCTGCTTTTTCGATTCATATGATGAGGCCGTATGTTTCTCCAAAATGTAGTTTGACTTTCACCAGACTACATCCCAGAAGACAAAGCTCTTCAATCATGGAATAAGTTACAGAAACATATAATTTCTCATATTTTCCCTTGTAAGCACTAATTTTTAACACTTTTCGGACCAGTGGCATACTTTTATGCCCAGTGCTTTTAAATGTGGCGGACCGGTGGCATATTATTATGATTTTAGGACATGTTATGTTGAAACACACTATACCTTGCACTGGCGCCAGGCAGATGCATGACTGGTGTGTGATAGACCTCTTGAATGTTTGCTTCATAGTCAGTAACATGACCCAATTGTTTTCCTTTCCCACTCCAAAAGAAAATGCCTTTGTTCATCTTCTAGCTGCATGCACCAGGCAGGAAGTTAGTAGTGCAAAATGGATCTAGGTCAAAAGAGGTAGAGGTCCAGGCGTTTTCTCGGAGAACAAGAAATATCTGACTTGTTCTCCGATGAGCTGTCTGACGTCCCTTGTGAGTCTGCTTGTGATAGCGACTCACAATCTGATACTGAGTGTGGCAGGGGCGAACAAAAACTTGTGGCCACAGACAGTGAAACTGACAGTAGCTCTGACGAAAGTGCGGGTAGCAACATTGTGGGGACAGCCACATGGGGAAAAGTAGACAAAACGCCTGCTTTGGGACAGTTTACTGGAAATCCAGGGGTGAAGCAAATTCCATCAGACCCAACGCAAGTGTCTGAAGTAGCAGAACTGTTTTTTGGAGATAGTTTCTTTGACATGCTGTGTCAGGTAACCAACAGATACTATCTCCAAAACCGTGAACATTATGACAGAAGTTATAAGACGTTGAAGTGGGTGGATATCACTTCAGCAGAAATGAGAAATTTTTTTGCAATAATCTTTCTAATGGGCCATACAAGGAGGAATAATCTGAAAGAGTATTGGTCAACAGATCCATTTTTAGAAATTCCAATTTTTGGCAAACTAATGAGCCGTAAGAGATCTGAGCAAATTTGGTGGTGTTTGCGTTTCAGTGATAATAAACTGCAACCACAATCAACAAGCAGGCTTTTCAAAATTCAGCTCTTATTGAACTTTTTCGGTCAGAAATTTCGGACAGTTTATAAGCCAAACCAACAACTGTCTTTGGACGAATCTGTGATTCCTTGGAGGGGAAGGCTTCGTATGCAAACATATAATCCTGTGAAACTTACAAAGTATGACCTACTTGTTCGTGTAGTTACTGAAAGAACTTCAGGCCAAATTGGAAATTTAGAAATTTATTCTGGTGAAGGAAAGAAATTACAAGAAACTATTCTTTCCGTTTTGGATCCCTATCTTGATCAAAATTACCATGTCTTTCAAGACAATTATTATAACAGTGTGGCAACTGGAGAACACCTACTTTCGAGAAAAGTACGTGTTTGTGGAACAGTTAGGGTGAACACAGGCCTTCCTCCAGATCTGAAAGAGGAATGTAAATC